TAAAATAATTTTTTTTTCCCTCGTTCCCCGTAAATGTGCTGTAACTTTTTCAAAAATAAACATATCAATATAATTTTTTTTTTATAGATGCTTGATGTCTTTACCTATCATTTGGTATATTTTTTTTTGTAAATTTGACCCTTTATCTGCCCACAGGAGGGGATTTAAAAAGACAACTTTTTCAAAAAAAATTAACTTTTTCAACTTAACTTTTGAAAATGTTCCAGAAGGTCTGACACTTTTATATATATCTTAAATTAAAGCTAATGTAATATACTTTATTTTGAAAAAAAAAAATTTGACCTCTGGACTTGTCTTCGTGGTGAAAGTTGACATCAAAGTTAATAAAAAATTACGATTTTTGTAAAATAATTTTTTTTTATATTTTTAACTTAATAATGCTCTAACTTTTTCAAAAATGAACATATCAATATAATTTTTTTTTATATAGATGCTTGATGTCTTTACTTATCATTTGGTATATTTTTTTTGTAAATCTGACACTTAACCTGCCCACAGGGGGGGATTTAAAATGACAACTTTTTCACAAAAAATTAACTTTTTCAACTTAACTTTTGAAAATGTTCCGGAAGGTCTGACACTTTTATATATATCTTAAATTAAAGCTAATGTAATTTACTTTATTATGCGAAAAAAAAATTTCGGACTTTATTTTATCTTCACGGTGAAAATGGCTACCGAATGCTATTTTCGTGTGAAAATTCTCGATTTTATTTTTTATATTTTTAAATTTATAATGCTATAACATATTGAAAAGTATATGGATGAACACAATTTTTTTATGAAAAATAATATTTTTTAATAATAACTTTTTCATTTGACATACTTTATCTTAATCAAGATATTAATAAGGAACTAGCAGATCATGTAGCTTTTGGAATAATATACCAATTTTTTTAAAATTAAACACTATCTAAAGGTTTGCATCGAAGCGTTTAGTTTTGATAGTGATTTTAATCACTGTCAGATATCATTATACTTGATCCAACTATGCCACGTCACCACTGTGCCGCGACCCCCTTGTGCTGGGTTTTTTTGTTAGATTTCCGTATTCCATTAATATTTTCATTAATTTGTTGTTGATGAATGTGAGGCACATAAATATATGTAATTAATATTTAATATAATAATATGATAATTTTTTAATATGTTTATTTATAAGTTGACACGTTGTGTTTTTATGAATTTTATTTGTTTGACACATATTGAAAGAAAATATTTTACTTTTCAAAATTTCTAAGTTAAGTTATCGTTTATNTACTTTTCAAAATTTCTAAGTTAAATTCCAAATTTGTTGATCAACCAATAGTGCACCCGACAATTGTCTTAGAGATATAAGCTACTTTAAATATTATTAACTTATAGTTGTATGTATGTACGAGACTGTTTTAATAACAAATTATGTCCATATTTTTATAATAGAATTCAAAACTTATACTTTTTAATAAAAAAAATTTAATACTCATTAATAAGAAATTTGTGTAAGTTAACTTCTTATAAATGTGTAATAAAGTTAATGATATTTTTTAACTAAGTCTTACGAATTTTTTTAATAATATAAGAGATAATAATTTTTGGTTTTTTTTTGTGCAATAATTCTTTGTTGATCTACTTTACGAGAAAAAATTCATTTTGACTCTCATTCCTTATAGATTAAACTATCATCAATTTTTATTTTTCAAATGACAACCTATATTTTTATTTATTTTATGAAGGTTTGATTGAATAAACAAAACATCTTTATAGAAAAATTTTCATTACTTTAAGCATTGTTTAATACAGAGTGATCGTTAATAATCTATAAGAGTCAGTTCCTATTAACACAATAAATATTAAAAGCGTAAGAATGTATCTAATATATTTCATTAAGCATAATTAAAGAATATCCTTGTATAATTTTAAAAAATATAAAATATTATAATTAACATAAAATTTAATTAAATTCTTTTAAACTACTATTTTTGATAAGTTAACAAGTGCTGTCAAAGATATAGATCAATTAAAATGAATAAATAAAATAAAATGTCATATTATTATTTTAATTATCTAGTCTTTGATATTTAGTTTCACAAAATAGTATTTCATAATTAACTTAAAATAATTGTTAAAAATATATTTGATTTAATTTTACATTTTTATAACAATATATCTTTTTAATAAATTGTGTGTTAAACTCTTTAGATAAGGAAATTAAATAATATATTATTTAAACTTCCAAATTTTCAGGTAAATTTAAATACAAATAAATATGCATTAAGTGTATTATCATGAAAATTAATTATTTTGTTATCATATACAAAAAAATTTGTATATCTAGATAAAACTGTTAACAATAATATTCATTTAACATTTTTATAATGCTATTTTTATCATAATTCATTTAAACTCAAATTTTAATGGAAGTAATTCTTTTACACTGGTCACTAATACTTTAGAACCAGCTGTCTGGTATAATAAAATAATAATATCATGGTTAAGTTTTGTAAATTCACTTAAAAATTGTCTACAGGCTCCACAAGGAGCCACAAATTCGTTATTATTATTAGCAGATACAGCAATTTTTACAAAAGATTGTTTTCCATCACTCACAGCTTTCACTATAGCTGTGCGTTCTGCACATATAGACAAACCATAAGATGCATTTTCTACATTACAACCAGTAATTACAGTACCATCATCACATTTCAGAGCAGCCCCTACTTTAAAGTTGCTATAAGGAATATACGCTTTTTCCCTGGCTGAAACACTTTTAGATACAAGGAGTTGATCTTCAGTGCCTAATATAAACATATAGAATCTTATAATTAAAAAAAAATTCATAGACTTAATTATTATCACAAATGATTTCAGTCTTCATCGACAACTATGTATATAAAATATTACTTTAATAAGAAAAAAATTTACTTAATTCATTTAATGAGACAACTTGAAAACTTTTGACAGGAGACTCCATTTGAAACATATAGAGTAATTAAAAATTGAATTTCAAACAACTTGATATGTAATAATCAAATACAAATGAAAAACTAACACTTTATACAAGTACTCATATGTTTAATACGTTTAAATGAGATAAAATAGTTGGTTAACATCTTTCTTATAGATAAAAACTAAGAAATTTATATTATGATAATTTTAATTGACTTAATTACCTTGAATTTTAATAACAAGTATTGTTAATTTTTACATACCAGTGCATTACTATTAGACAGATGTTTCATTTGTTCTGTGATAATGATAAGGTACTGTTTAGGCTAAAGGTTCTGTTATCTTGTACAGATAATGTTCATTTTATCACTGGGACTACTAAAAATATTGGAGGGGTAGATCAACAAGCTAAACATTAGTACATTGTTCATCTGCTACAACTTGTCGAAAGTTGCTCAGATATGAACAGTTGCAATTGTTGTACAATCACTTTTAAATTTATAATTATTTTCTTTAATTTACAATGAATTCATTTAAAAATCATGCACACTCTATTATTAATTCTGACGAAAAAAATTAATATAATAGTTTGAAAAATATGAAGTATATGTAATAGTTGCACTATGTATGTATTGAAAAGTATCGAATATTTTTTTTTTTGTAATAAAACTGTTATGGAAAGTAAGATAAAAAATTAAAACTACTTATATTGATAAATAAAAAGAACGAGCATTTTATGTATTGACCCCCAGACACTGTAACATAAATGAAAAAGTAAACAAAGAACAACCGATAGACCAACATTCAACAAAACTTCTACAGATATAAAAAACATAGACATATGGGATAATAGCAAACTATTAGATAAATCAAAATATTTAACTTAACGAAATCAAAAGCTCAATATACTCCTGGAAAAACATAGTATTGAGAAGAAATAACACTGTAATACAGAGACTTCGCATAGGATATACGAAATTAACTTATTAACATCTTATGAAAATAAAGGAACCACTAGTTTGTGAAACAAGCAGAGTGAGGATTACTGTCATATACAGAATATAGAAAATGTACAATAGATCACAAAAACCTTTAAATACAAATAATAAAATCCTTAAAAAACGCTCAACTTCGACAAAATATATACATCTATTTAATTTAGATTATAAATATCATTGTGCCAACAAAGCAGCCAATCTTGTAAATATCATAAAAAAAATTTGTCTGATCAAACCTTTTTTGTATGATACACTGCTTTTGGTAAACATCTCGTATTTTTCATTATCGGGAAAATTGTTTAGTAATTATGAACAAGTAGGTCTCAGAGGATAAATGAATAGGAGGGTAATCAGAATTTAGTGTATAAGGAAAATAATTATTTAACATTCTTACGGAACTAAAAATATATTTAATAAAAATAAAGTTCAGTACAGTGAGGAAGTGGCAAATTTGGGACAAGTATTAAATGATATAAAAAAACATTTTTGACCCAAATCTGTTAAGTTTTACTTAAATAATTTTTTTTTTTTTGCTCAATTGAAAATAATTTTTTCTTATTTTTATAATTGAATACAACTACGGGGACATTTTTTTAAAATATTGTGGTACGTTTCAATAGCCTTTAATTTAATATAGTATAAAAAAATCGTAATAGTTTCGTAACATTTTCAAAAATCGATTTATTAACAAAATTTACATACATTAGTCTCTTTAAAACCCTTCCTGTACTTAAGTTATTTATTCAATTTTTACAAAAAGTTTATTAAAACAAAGCTCATATTCTATTCTATATTGAGTTAAAATTTCGAAAGGATCAATGTTTTTAAAAAAGTTTTAAATATAGACAATTTTTTTTATAATGCTGTTTTTAATGGTAGCGTAATTTAGACATAATTTTTAAAATTCTAAAATTGAAGGTTTTTTTTCATTTTGACTATGATAGGTTCAGCTAGAATAAACTCAGGTTCTCATCGAAGCTAATAAACAATTTAGTAGTGGGTAATAATATGTATTTAACTAAAAATCACTAGAGATTATTTAACGTAACAATTTTAAATATTTTAAGATAACATAATAGATATCACACTTTGGTATAATAGTTACATAATAAAAAATTGGTGGTGCTAATTATACAAAAATAATAAAATAAATATCACAATAATAAAAGAGGATAGTTTTAAAATCATTATTAATAAAACATACAAAGTTAAACTAACTTGAAGAATTTCAATATTACTCTATACAATGCATCAAAATAATAAAAAACTATATGTACAATTTAATTTTACATTTAAAATAAAATACTATAATTTTAAAATGGTTCAATATGTTATGTATAACTAAAATAGGTACCTAGAATATAAGTCTTCATTGTTTAGTTCAAATTCAGAAAGAATTATTCAACTATTATTCAGTTTTTCAATACTTCCTTAACATAAAATAAAATAACAACATAAAAAATTGATTATTAAATTCATAAAAAAAATTGTTTTTAAGAATGATTAAATAGGTACAAGAAGTAATTTTTGATTAATCATTAACTTTTTTTTACTATATATACAGGGATGTTTTTTTTTATCATAAATCACTCAATTACTTACAGAATAAATATAACTTAAACATTTTTTTTTTGGCTATCTTTAGTTACACATTCTTGAATTATTAAGTATGTGATACTTTTTAAGTTCATCTGTTACACTTTGTTTTTTTAAATTGGAACACATATTTTGAATTTAATAAAATATTTTATATCAATTCAAAAATTTGAAACTTTAAATGTTTATATCAAATAAATGATATCTAACTAATAAAGTTATATTAAAAATTCAGATCTCATTTACTACTAAATTAAAAACTCAAATATTTAATTAAATTCAAAATATGTGTTCCCATTTAAAAAAAAACAAAGTTGAAACCCTTACAAAGTATAAGGGATGAACTTAAAAAGTATCACAAAGTTAAAAATTCAAGAATAATCTATAACTAAAAATAACTAAAAAAAAGAAAATGTTTAAGTTATATTTATTCTATAAGTAATTGAGTGGGTTATGATAAAAAAAATCACTCTGTATATATATATATATATATATAGACAGAATGGAACAGATCTAACTGACATTTCATATAACTTATCTATATAACATTTTATACTTTTTTTTTTAATCAATTTTTACAATATAGAACTATATTTAAAATATGTTTTACGTTATTTTTTGCAATCACAAAAAATATTTTAAAAATTAATTTTTTTATTAAATTTTTTTGCAAGATTTGAAGATAGCCATTTTATAGATAAGTTAAAAAAAATTTTTTGGTATCAAAAACTCTTATTTTAATTCTGTAGTTACGTTTATACAGCATTTTTAAGTTTGTTAAATTTTGATTTTTTTTTTACAATTTTCCCATGGTTTCAAATGTTAGTCGATATTATATTGAGTAAACATTTATTACGTTATTCACTAGTTACAGTTCGCGATTTCTTTTCCATGAAATAACAAGTAGTAGTATAAATAAGAATATTAAAAAAATTATAGAAAACATGTTAAGTTATTAATTAAATAAGTTAATATATCATACATTTTAACGTGTATAATAGTGAATAAGTGTATTGATTATCAAATCTTCTAACAAGGAATATCCTATAATAAAATATGATTACAATGATAGAATCACTCAAATTAATAATTGTTATCACTTTTAACTTGGCTAACCACCGAACAATCGTAGTTGACATACGATGTTTCTATTTTTATAGAATAAAGATTAGAGATAATCATTTCTGTATAAATAGGCCAGTCAACGAAGGAAAAATGGCGGAAAAAATTCCCAACCAAATTTTTTTTTTTTTAAAAAGTTGAATTAAGATATGTATAATGACATACTGAAAGTCCTCATCGATTGGACTTGAGCTTTTTTTTTTACATCCTCGCAAAAGTTCAAAAATATGAGCTTTTTTAATTTTCTCAAAAAATATTTAACTTACAAAAAAAAGTTTCGTACAAAAGTTGTTTAAAAAACAATTTTTTAAAAAAGGTATCTTATATATTTTTATTTAAACAAATATTTTTCGAGTTACATTACATTTAATATGAGTACTAAAATTTATTTTCCAATTTTTTTCATTTCATCGAGACTACCTCGAAGTTATATAATAATAGGTTAATTCTTGAAAACAAAAAATTATTAGATCTAAATATATGGACTTGGTATTTGAAAAGCTTGGGGATTTATCCACGTTTGCAATTTAACCATATAACCTGGAAGGTCACTAAGCACAAATTTTGAAAACCTACACTGGAAAAACATCTTCCTATGTAAAAAACTCGACTGATTTTGGGGAAAAATTGCAACAAACCGACTGGGAAATGGAGACATTCTGGTCAGCTTCGAGGTAGTCTCGTTATTCACAATGGTACCAGTAAAGGACACACTGAATATCATAAAAGAACAACAATGATTAGACGAAAAACTACATAGTTTACTGGAATTGTGCACCAAAACAATGCAAACATGGATAAATCCTCAAGCTTTTCAAATAATATGACAATCCATGAAAGTTTCAACATATTCATAATATGGACTTGGTATTACATCTTCAATCTGAAGATGAAAAAGATATTTTTGGGTATATTTATTTGAAAAATTCTTAATTTGTCAAAACGTAGTTGAAGAATCAACAATATCTATTGATGTAATTAACTTTATGAAGAAAAGTAATAGAGCTTTTCCGAACTTAGCCATTGCTCCTAGGATTTTTTTATGAGTCCCAATAACTTAGTATACTACAGAACGCAGAATAAATACTAGAAATTAAAATTGAGTGTTGAAAATTATGTTGTTTATGGATTTTCCATAATACGCAAATTGTAAATTTTGTAAATTCTATAAGTAGCGTTAAAATTATTTCTCCATCATAAAATTTTCACCAAACGTTTTAATTGCGCAAAGGAAAGTACTATGTAAATTTGAAAAAAATTCGTTCAGTCACTTTTGTGTAATGAGATGATAAAGTTGGCTATTTTCAGCAAACCTTGCATGTTCAAGACCGTAAAACGATACAAAAAAAATTATAAATCAATTCAAATATGATATGGGTTAAAAGAATATTACTAAAAGTTTCTCAAAAAAAAAAAAAATTTTAATTACAAAATTTTTTGTCCTTCAAATTTTGCTATTAAAATACTGCAAAATTTAAATAAAAATTTCGATGTTCAAAAAAATTCAAAATTTATAAACTTAAGAATGAAATTGAAGTACTATTTAATATGAGTAAAACAGTGCTAGTTCCACAGTGATAGCTTATTTGGATGTGAAGTTATAGGCTCTAGAACATAGGCTGTTTTTTCATGTTTTTAATTATAAAAAATGCACTATCTGGTAAAAAAACAATTATAAAAAAAATAAAATATTATTTTTGTTGTCAATGACTTTTAAGATGTCTATGANATAAAAAAAAAATATTATTTTTGTTGTCAATGACCTTTAAGAAGTCTATGATATAAATTTCTGAACTATACCAGCACACACATTAGGTGATTTCACATGGAATAACCCACAACTTTTGAACGAAACTTTTTTTTGTAAGTTAAATATTTTTTGAGAAAATTAAAAAAGCTCATATTTTTGAACTTTTGCGAGGATGTAAAAAAAAAAGATCAAGTCCAATCGATGAGGACTTTTAGTATGTCATTATACATATTTTAATTCAACTTTTTTTTAAAAAAAAAATTTGGTTGGGAATTTTTTCCGCCATTCACTAAACTACTCCTTTGTGACTGGCCTAAAAGCGCGTTAAAGGTTATTATTATCCAGAGAAAAGAAATCGTATAACAGTACTACCAGTAAATAACGTAATAAGACAATGTTTACATGAAAATGATTTACAATTTTCCTATGGTATCAAATGTTAGTCCATATTATGTAAAGGACAGAAGTAAAGAGTATAAAATGTTATAAAGATCATAAGTTATATGAGTTATCAGTTACATCTGTTCCATCTGTATATTATATCATTATTTTTTACCAAGAGAGTTTTTAATATCTTTTACTGAAATTTTTCTTGCTTGAATCCAAAGCCAAAGTGCGACAAATATGGACCATGTTTTTAGAGGACCAAAAATAGTAGCAATAGAACCATATGCTCCCCAGAACCACAGACAACATAAACTTTGCCAAGCCATTAACAAAAAAAATATTACATCCACACAGATAAAAGGAGATGTAAAAAATGAAAATTTTATGTTAACCATTGATTGCATTCTAAATAAATAATACTGAATTGATATATATTAATACTAAAAGATAATTTCATTTATACTTAATATCCAGGTGATGACCAAGTATACAATTTAAAGGTAACTGAAAAGTAATTATCTGAAAAAGAAAAACATACATAAAACTTATTCAGAATATTTTTATAAACATTCATGATAGCTCTAACATATTCACATATACAGAGTAATTAATTTTTCATTGACTACCAATTTAAAATAATTAAGAGAATTTTTTTTGGTTGTAATATTTATTTTTCAATTTATGTATTTAATTTTCTAATAATTAGATGCCTGCAGATATTTTTCTGCAGTCTAAATAACGTAACTAATTAATATTATAAACTATTTTTAATAAGTTTAGAAATAAACAAACAATACATTTTACTTTCCTATTCATTGATCTTACAAAATTGATCCTAACTCCCCCAAATAACATTTATGGTTTTAAAATATTTGTTAGTAACTGTTACCACAGAATTTGTTTTACATTGACAAAACTCTAATACATATCAATAGATTGGTAGCTAGGGTGTATATATGTATTGTATTTTTTATTATTTGATTTTTTTGTTAATAAACAAATAATCCCAGGTATGGCACCTCCTACACCACTTTGATTGTCCCTATTAATTTAACTAATAATAAATTGAAATATAAATACTACAAACCAAAAAAATTACTATTATTTAAGGAAAATTTAATAATTCATAATTATGTATAATAAAAATTTTTTTTAAACAAAATATATTAACCTGTGCAAATCCATAAGCATAAGTAAGAGGATCCTTGATAAATTTTCCATTGATATAAATACCCCATGGAAAAATCCACCCAATACTATCTGTTAATAAACCACCAACAGCCCAAGGTCCTGTTTATATGAATTAAATAAAATATTATTAAAAACAAAATATATATAAATATTGAAGTTAACTCTAATTTTGTTTTTTGTTGTCATCTTAACTAAGAAACTTAATTCTCATATGAAAGAGGATGGAAAAAACTTTACAGTTCAGCAGTATGAAATCAAACCTTGATACCTGAGTATCAAGGCATGACACATTCCAAACCAAGCTATACTAACTGCTTATAATGAAATTTAAAAATTTAATTGAAGTGTTCAAAAACATTAGTAACATAAATTAGAATGAAATATTACCTAGACATAGAATAATTGAATATATTGTTAATGGATAAAACATACAGTTTAAGCTTGTCAATAAAACCATTTTTCTGGAATATTTGCTTATTAAGGTTCTTTGAGTACTGTAGCTAATGTGATCTATTAAACAATGAATAAATAAACGTACACACACACATATATATATATATATATATATATATATATTAGTTTAAAACTTAATAAATATAATGTAATGTCTGAGGGTTTAATAATTACTAAAAAAATTAATTAAATAAAAAATAGATAAAAATGACCAAAAAAATTTATGGTAATTTAAAGTACAAAAATTTAAAAAAAAATATATATTCCCTCTAAAATAAATTGTAAACTAATAGTAAAAAACATAAAATATTAATTTATGTTAAATTTTACAGTATACTTATTATTTATAATAAATAAATTGTAATTTTTATACATCAATTACATAGTAATTTAGAGTAATAAATAAAATTAAATTTAAAAGAAATTTTCATTTTATTGCTTTAAATTAAAATAACCGTACAAAAATCTTTATGTATTATGGGATTATAAAACCAAATATAATAAGTAACATTTTAACAATTGAATGATAGTAAAAACCCAATAGCATAATTTTTATAAGGGATATATACAGGATATTTTAGTTATATCTAGTTTAATATAGCTAAAATTAAAATATAAAGATATACTAATATAGCTAAAAATTATTTGCAACAAATCAACAATAAATTTATTTTTAAATTGAATAATTTTCAAATGATAATAACTTACACTTTGTACACTTGCTAATAAATCGATAAAATAAAAGAGGTAAACAATTTGCTACAATTGCAGCCATAAATATAGTCAAAAGCTGTAACAAAAATAATTGAATTTTATTAAAAAGTATTGTAATGTGATAAATAATAAAATCTAATAAAAATTTACATGCCAAATAACACCAATTTAAAGATATTAAAAAGAAAATAAATCACTAACCACATTTGGAAAGTATAAATTTAAAGGCCATTGTGCGAAATTTTTTATTATAGAAATGTTACTATCTAAAGTAAAGGATTGACTAATTTCATGTGTTCTTCCTTGTACATCTTCGACTCTAACCTGATAAACCAAAATTATTTAAAAATTAATAGCAATGTTTTTTTAATTGTGATTTTCATGCAAATTATTTATAATCCCTAAAATATGTTATATTTGAAAATTATAGTTTTAAACAATAAGTAACTTTATAAAAGTAATATTTTATGATATAAAACATAAGCGAATCGAATATTATATCTAAAGATTATGATAACTTATTTTTGTTTTTTACAGTTTTTAAAATTCAGTACAGTTATGAAATCTGATACTCTTATAAAATTAAAAATAATGATAAGGCCTATTGTAGAACAATTTAAGACATTATATTTTTTTTTTTAGCTTTCCTACAAAATGCACTTTTGAAGATGTATAAGTTGCTTAATACATCAACCTGTAATCAAAAATAAACATAATATCCTTTAAAAAGAAATTCTGGGATTCCATATTATTTAGGATTATTCCAGCAAGTTTAGTTTTAATATAATCGATATCTAAAAATATACAGTTAAATTGTCAGTTACATTAAATTTAATACATTTTTAACCTTAAAGTTAATTTCCTAGTCACTTGAAAAACAAATCAAAATTTTCTTAATTTATTTTTTGATTACTCGCAAATATAAAACTAACTATAAAATATAGAACTTTTAAAATATCAATTTTATATTCTTTTAGTAATAAAAACTTAGAATAATTTCTGTTCATAGATAAATATTAATTGTGTTAATAAATTAAAAGTTATTTTATAATATTCCATTAAAAATTATTTTTTGTTTAAATACATACATGAATAGTATGAATTCCTTGAATGTATTGATTTGCATTCCATTCAGTTACATACATAGGACTATTATTTCCCACATTAATACAATTTTTCCATTCCATTTCAGAATTTATCTTAACTAAAACATTTTGAATGGTATCCAGAGAAAATGCTAATATTCTACATTTAAACAATTTATAAGTAAATTAAAGAGTATAATGTTTGATTCAGAATAATAACAAATAATTACACACTAAACTAATTAAAATATATTAAAAAATCTTGTTTAAAATAATATAAAAATTCGGAATATAAAAATTAAAATATACTATCAGTGAGTAGCATAAATATAAATAATGATACAAAATCAAAAATCTTAACTGCAAATATTTGTGCTTCAGTTATTCTTAATAAACTTTAATTAAAAAACAAATCTTCTATGATTTTTATTTATACTCAATTAAAATTTAAATAGCAGAAATATATATTTTTAAATTTTATAAAATACTTAAAATCTGTATACATAATCTAATTTTATGCTGCAATAACTGACACTACTTTCAATGTATATATTTATAAAATTAAAATATATAATTTTAGTAAAACTATTAAAATAACTAAAACATTATAGCACCTATTAATAAAAATTAAAAATGTTTCAACCTGATAAATTTATTATTCATAATTTGATCTTCAAGTGTTTCTACGGAATTTACGTATAACCATGGTATTTTAGGATTTGTAATTAATACAACTGGCCATTTTCCATGTCGAACATCAGTAAATGAAAGCGATCCTCTATCAAATGCCAATAACCTAAACCTATAAATCAAATAATATAACACCTGATTAAAAAAAAATAATAGTTTTAAGAAATAAATATTTCAAATATATAATTTTATTTGATATCATCAATATGAATACAATTATTCTTTGATAATAATAATAATAGTACATTCAATATACATTAAATGGGGTTATTGAATTCTTAAAAAAAAATATATTTAAATGGACTTATACCATTTAGGCCTAATCACTAAAAACATATAAATACATTCTGTTTTTAAACAAAATTAAAAAAATCAAAATATTAGGAAAACTCTTACCTTCAAATATTACAATCTCATTTTAAAATTTTTTGATTAAGTTTGATGTTTGATCATGATACATGTTCAAATTTATTGACTAAAAGTGATCCTATATTATTTCTAATACCACTATAGAACACTAAATTATTAATTGTAATTTTTATCTAAACTTCTTACAAAAGTTGTTCCATCCTATTATTTTAGAAGTCATAATATGTGAACTTATTATACTAATATCAACTTAATTTTTCTTAATGGTAACATATTTATCTTCAAAATAAAATTAAAAATTAATAAAAAAAAAAAGTTCCAGGCCATAAAAATAAAGCCCAGATTTTTTAAGAGAAAGTCTGATTCAACTTAAATAAAAATGTAAAATTTTAGGCCTGATCTGAACCATAAAATCAATATTAATATTAATATTTTCCAACTTTTATACAAGGTTCAAAACAGATTGGGCTAACCATGCCTAAACTGGTCCTGATTTCATAGTTTAGATCAGGCCAGTTTAGAACTTAATTGAAAAAAAAATGAACCAAGTTGGGTTGAATCAATAAAATTTTGATATTGGATTGTGTACAGTCATCAAATGAAAAAAAAAAATTACATAAAACATTATTTTCTTTGAAAATAAAATTTAATGAATAAAACTTAAACAATTATTAAAACCCTTTAAATTAAAGTCTTTGAATAGATCATGTCAAATGGGACTTGATTGTTTTTTTTAAATTTGATCCAAGCCGGATTAGGCTTAAAATTTTGATTGGGTTGAAAAGGATCTGAATGAAATAAATTTTGGATCAAATTGAGCCCAAAATGTTATTTTTATACTTAGTTTGAATTAGTTTAGGCTTCTAAAAAAAAAAGTCAGCCATATTTTTCATACCCAAACTCATCCCGGGCAACTATTACTAGACAAACACTTCAAAATTAAATAATATTCTCCTTAGCCTTTATCCCATTTATTTAGGGTCAGTTTTAAATTCAATAATTTTTCAGAACTTTTAAATTGGCTGACATAACCTCATTATGGCTTGGGGAATTAGTAATAAAATAATATTTTATAATATTAGACGTTAGAAAAACCGACATAGTTTAATTTTATTACTTACATTCTTCCATCTTTCCAGTCTCCTAATTCTAATTCTGCAAACCCTTCTTTATGAATAGTATACATTTCTGGTACTAATCCAGCTAATGTATGTAAATGACCACATAAATACACAATTGATTTAGAACTTTTGCCAATTATTTTCCGAATCTAAATTATACATAAAATTATATTCAAATTTGATTTAAATAATTTAGAAGACATTATATTTACAGTTTCATTTCCTTCTACAAGAATGCATGATGTTGGATAGTGACCAAACCAAATAACAGGATCTTTGTTGTTTTTTATCATTTTTTTCAAATTATTTATTTCATAAGAGTTCAGAGTTCCAATAAAATTAAATGGTCTTTTTATTCCAGGTTCTAAACAAGCATCAACACCAATAAATTTTATTCTCATTCCTGCTTGATTTGTAACTGAATAACTATATGATCGAGAGTATTTCTTGCCTTGAATAGAATATTTTTTATAGAAATTATTGGATGAATATTCATTTAGCACATCAAAACTATCTGAAAACCATTCATTTTCATTAGTTAAATAATAGTTATTAATTTATATACAAGAAAATTTTAATTATAAAAAATTTGATCTCTATAACAGGAGCCTATCTTTTAAGGGATTTTAGGCTATAATGTTGACAAATCAGCTTTATAAATGTTGAATATAGTATGTTAACTATATTACAATGAAAATAAATTATCCAAGTTTTATCACATAAATGAGTTTTCTTTCAATGAATAAAACTAGCGTATAATAGTATTCACCTTGATCCATTTATTTTATAGTTTGATAGACTACACTTATCAAATATTTTAACTTTGACTTGTAGTTATCGGTTATACTCTATCTTTATTTTTTTTTGTGTCAAAATACAATTACTTCACTCCTTATAGTCTGAGTTTACTTAATGATACATCAAAAAATCACAAAATACATCTATTTGAAGCTATTAGCCTAATAATTTTGAAAAATTCCCCCCAGTCATCGTATCACAATATAGGGAAATGTGTTCAAAAAATTACAATGATAAACAGTTCAGTTTCGATTATTGTAGAAGTAATACGTTCTTTTCATAATGGTTGTTACTAGTTTATTTCTTGTAAAATTAAACTTGACACACCATTGAAAAAGAATACTTTGTCTTTGTTAATTTCAAATATTAATAAGTAATATACATTAACTGATGTTATGAAGAAATTAAAAATTATTGAAGCATTGAAGCCATTGTTAAAATGGCACAAACAATACAATTATGTAAAATTAAACAAAGAACTACAAGCAAACATCAAAAGAATACTTATCAGTTTGGTTTTGTGAATGTTGTGTTGGAGCCAATTATGGCAAAGTTTAAAATTTAATGGATAGCAGGAAATTGGATGACCGGTAGTGCAAAACTTAATAGCAAAGCTGATGATGACGATGACTGGCAAGACACCGAGAACTAAAGTGTAATGAAGAAAGATGTGTACAAATTTCAGGACAACAGAGCTGCACACAAGTTAAATATTTGCTAAAGAACAAACAGGAAAATAATATGGCGGCAGCACTATAAATACGAAAGAAAAAAGGTCAAGCATGAGCAGAAAAATAATTACATTGTTATATATAAGTGTTACGCGGCCGAATATTAACTCAAACCTACATAGAGGCAGTCAAAATAATCGAGGGACTCGCCAATCAACTGACCACCAGTGCCGCCACAAATAAAACCGCATCTGTATCTAGCAAATAGTCAAATATTAAAAATAAAAAGCTTACAGATTTTGTAATCTCAATATATATATAAAACTTATTATTGTAATATATGTAAACTTAAATTAGACAGTAATTTAAATGTAAAAAAGTGTATTTTCTGACTATTATCAAAATATAAGAAATTTACGTACTAAATTAAATACTCTAAAATTAATTATTCCTTTACAGAAAATCAGTGAGAGTACAGTAATGAACTCTATAAACTGTGTCAGCATTTCCTTACAAAAAAGTAAAGACCAATCAAACCCTCCATGCAAATTTCACACCAAAATGTATCTTTCTGAGGATGCATTTCTTTTTCTTGAATCTAGTTGACTTGGATTTCAAATGTAGCGCCTTTTTGAGACACCTACATATTTTTAATTGTATTTGTAAGATTATTGTATTTATCATACATACTATATTGTTTTGCTCATTTTTAGGTGTAAATATATTATTACAGTAAATATATATAATAAATAAAACAGTTAATGTTGTTATTTTTATTTTTAATTTTATCTTTATATTAAAATAATTTTTAAAAATTAATTTATCATTGAAAAATATTTATTGAGAATACATCACACATTTTCCTTGCCAATGTATATACTTCTTTGTATTATATATTACCTTTAAATACGTATATTTTTGTTTAAATTCATATATATTTTATGTTTCAATGCAATCATTAAACGAGCTACTGTGAAAGCTTAAAAACCATATCAATTTTTTTGTAATTTTTTAAAAATTTGATGTTTTAAAGAATTGAATATATAATCTTATGTCAAATTAAATTTAGTACAATATACTTAAAAATAAAAATAAAAAAACTAGCAAATATCTCAACTTTGAGGTTTTATTCACTAAAAATAGCTGCTTTTGAAGTGTTCTGCATAGTAATAGAATATTTGCATTATTCTAAATTATTTCAAATTAAAAATTGTTTAATGTGAAATATAATTTAAAAAATAAAAGCTTTCCTGTAACTTGATCTTTATGAGTAATCAGCCTCAAAAATCAATAATCATTTAATTGATTAAAAATAAATATTAATTTATTTTATAAAAGTGATTTTAATAACTGGAAATATCAATTAATTCTAATTTATATAATGCTTTCACAATGTGGACTTGCAGCAGAGCCTTGGGAAATACATGGGGTTTTAAACCAAGAGTTATGTATTGGTTATACACTTCAGTGATTAAACCTATGATATTGTATGGTCCCTAGTCTGGTGGACCAGAATAGCACTTGTCACAGCTAAGAAAAAACTTAGTCGCATACAGAAAATGGCTGCCATAGCCATCACTGGAGCATTAAGAACTACACCAACGGTCGCATTAGAGGCACTAATCAGATTGTCTCCTCTGCATCTAGAGGTTAAAGCTCACGCCAAAGCCACAGCACTAAGATTCCACAACTTAGGTATGTGGACTTTGCAGAGTGACACAGTAGAACACGGTAAAATAATAAAAGAGATAGACTAGGGCTTTTTGGAATACTCTTTGGACTATATCAAACCAATTCTTAAGAATAACATTCCCTACAAAGTGAAAATCACTACACGTAGAGAATGGAATATTAACCACCTGACTGAAAAAGGAGGATTTGTAATATATACAGATGGATCCAAAAAATCAGGAAAGGTAGGTTCTGGCATTTGGGGTCTAAAGCCACAAATAAATGTCAGTATGTCATATATAAGCACAACACCTTCTGTTTTCCAAGCAGAGGTGATGGCGATACTAGTAGGGTCTCAGAACCTGCTGGTATACAAGAATAGGAAGATAACTATCCTAAGTGACAGTCAAGCGGCTTTGAAAGCACTCTGTAATGATCAGGTGAATTCAAAGCTGGTCCTCGAATGTAGGAAAACTTTAAAATCACTATCGAGATTCAACAAAGGTAAACTAGCGTAGGTACCAGGACACAACAGTGTCACTGAAAATGAAAATGCTGACTTTCTAGCCAGGTAAGAAGCAAAGAACACCTATGTTGAACCAGAACTAATGGTAGGACTCACTGAGCAGTCGCTCAATGCACTACCCAAGAATTGGTGCAGAAAACACAGGAAAATCTGGAAGTACTTGGTAGTACCTAGACAATCAAAAATGTTTATCAAGATTCCCGGTCTACTGCTGGATGATCTTAATAGCACGACTAAACATCAAATTAAAACTTTGACTGATCTACTGACAGGGCATGGTCACTTGCTTAAACATCTTGACGCAATGGAGGTATCAGAATCACCATTGTGCAGGAAGTGTGGAGTAGAAGAGGAATACTCATTTTACATTATGTGCGAATGTGAAGCCTTGTCCATACTAAGATCAAACTACTTGAGTACTTTTCCTGAAAAAGAAGATATTAAAAACCAAAGACCCAGAGAAATACTTAATTTTGCCAGAAAGAAGGACTCCATAGGGAAGACTTGATGATCCACCCTTATACCATAATAGGTATAATGTAATAACATTTTGGTGCTAAAACTTAGGTGGGTAAACTGAATCAAGACAATTCGGTATGAGGTACGCAAAATGGACCAACAGGTCTAAGTGCATGGGAATTATGTCCACCTCGATAATAACTAAAACTAAAAACTATATTATGCTTCCACTCCACTGTTCTCAGACACTATTTTATTATTTATAAAAACAATAACTCCTCATACGGACAAACTTAATTTAGAATTTACAAAAACAAAAGAACTAAACAAAAAATTTCTAATTACTTTTAAACTACTCTTAGACAATACTCTAAATCTACAATCAAACTACTACATATCCTATAAACATCTTATATAAATAAATTAACTAAGAATTGTGAATTATAAATCTAATAACTGAAGTATAATTTTAAAATATGTATCATAAATTATAAATAAAGTTTATAATGTAATAGTTAGAAACGCCAGTCTCAAAAAAAAAGTTATAAATTATAAAAATAGTAATAAAATTAATAAAACTTAAAAATAAATTTAATAATAATTTAGACCCCAAATTACATGCTACCAATAACTTCTATAAATGATATAAAATGTCTAATATTTAAAATTATTTATAAAAATGAAAATCACTACATAATTAAAAGAAAGTTTCATCTTCTTAGGCCCTGATAATAATACATTAATTGATTATACAAACCATGATTTCCTCGAATATCTAACCATTTGGTTTTTTCAGACACTTTACTAGATATTAAAACATTATGATATGCTAACCATTCTTTTTCATATTGGGTTGAGCCTATTCCATTTTTATTTTTAGCATCAGTAAGGTCACCTAAAATTTTTACTTAGTTAAACTAAATTGAATTTATAATCTAAAAAGAATTTTAAGAAATTTATGATGAAATTCATATACTATCAAAAAATTATAAATAATGTTAAAAACTTTAAAATTATATCAAGTAATAATTGTATTATACCACTGGCTAATACAGCAGACGGTTTTATAGCATCAACAGTCAATTCACAAAATTCCTTTAATTCTGTAACTCGTCCCCAATCATGAAATATACTCAGATGTAAGTCTGAAATCTAGAAGATAAAATAAAAAAGTTTACTTCAAATAATTAAATATTCTTAATAGAAATTATAACTAGTTATTAAAAAAATTAATTTTAAAATTCAAATACTGAAATAAAAAATGATAGCTATAAAAACATATCAACTAAATTAACAAAAAAATATCTATTAGTATTATAAATATCTTGTATGATATATTATTAAAATTTATTTTAATTTATCATTAACTTCAATTTTGTTAATGTTACAATTACGTACCTGTAGAAACCATATAAGTCTATCAGTAAAATTATTCATTCTTATATTATATCAACCAATGTTTAATTTTTAACTGGATCACATTTTAAAGTGTAAATCAAACATGATTTATAGTTTAAATATTCCCCCCGTTCTCAAAGATGATAACATTTTTTTAAAAACCTAGCATACTATTTCTTATAACAAAGTCCAAGACAAAACGATAAATTTTTTATACACTAATATCACTCTTATCAATTACATCTTGGTCTGATTTACATTTATATACTAATATCACAGACTATATGAAACTAATTATCTTATCTATGATACTACCTATCAGGGATTAAATTCGTTATTGATAACGAATTGGATTTGGATCGAAATGGATTCGAATTAAATCATGTTCTACAATCAGTTAAAGAGCTAAATTATATTGAAGGACGAATGATTTCACTGCTATTACCATTTATGAAAGTATTTAAATGTCTCCGAGGGGCAGGACAGCTGAAAATTCAAGGTAATGTTGTTAACATACCGATTGATATGACATAAACAACAGTATTTTATCATGAAGAGAGTAAAATTTGACTGATATTAAAAAAATGAAATTAAAAAGAAAATCCTGTTTCAAACCACATTATTTATATCTAAATGTGTCATCCAATTTTAGTCGTCAGAGCTCTGATGGACCTTAGAAACCAACCGTTATACAGAGGTGCAGAAAATTGATAAAGAATCGTATAATCATTTGGTAAACCATATTCGATCAATTTCTAAAAACATGGACTTATTAATCAATGAAAAGTTTTATGAAGGTGTCAGTAAAGAGCTTGACAATCCTTTTTTTTTTCACAACCAGCATTATGGTGGGCCGCTCTGGAACTGCCATTAGGCATTACTTCAGGTATGCTGCACGCCTATAGATTACATGTAATAAATCATTTTCTAAGAATTTTATCATTATTTACCAGACGCTTAGGTAATCATATTTCCAATATCAAAGGTATCGCATAACTATAACGTTTTTTGATGTATGCATACCGTGATGATCATGTTTGTAGTATCCAAACCTGTTCTACCAACCTAAATTTGTCTGAACAAGATCTTCGACCTCTATAAAAGAACGTTATGCCATTTTCAAGCTCATTTACTTACTATTCTTTCTAAAGTAATTATACCAAAAAAGATATGTCTGATTATGTCTATTAGTTGTTCTGAAGCATTTGTAAATATGTATGACTTGCTGCCTTTAGATATAAAATAAAGTTAATAATGATATTAGATATATTTTTCATGTAAACTGTTTTCTACTTTCTTTTGTTTTACTATAATTTATGTTTAGAATTGTTTAAAACCTTATTAATTTTTTATTTAGATTAGAGTAATAAAAGAAACAATCAGACTACATTAAAAAAATATTCTAAATTAAGTGATCTGGAGGAGCACATACTATACAAAGTCATATCTATGAAAAATACAAACGCACAAAATGGGGCTGTCATTGTTGGCTGCCTATTCAACAATATGAATATGCTTATCCCGAGATTAAAACTAACTAATGAAGAAATTGAAGATTATAATATCAATGTTGATAATAAATTACATTTATTATATAGAAGCAAAAGTGGAAATGCATATTTGTTTGATTTTTAGTAATTTGTTAATATTTTTCTTTGTTTTTTAAACTTATTTATGCTAAACAAAAAAAAAAGCTATTATTATTCACTTGTAAGATTTAAAATTCAATAAAATATTATATTTTTATTTTATACAATTTTGTTGCATTTATCTACACTTTATGTCTTTGCGCATAATGATTAGAATATTAAATATGAATCTTTAGTACTAAACAGAACAAAGAAGGTATATAATTATACTTTACACATTAAATATATACAGCAAATTTAGTGATACTCTATAGTAATTGTAGCAGGTTGTTTCGAAGGGTACTGAACACCCTGTATATGATATGTAGTAGGCCCTTGATCTGACCATTTACCTGCTCCCAGGTGGGATTCAAAATGACAACCTTTTCACAAAAAATTAACTATTGAAAGTGTTCCGGAAATACTGACACTTTTATTTATACCTTAAATTAAAGCTAATGTAATATATTTTAATATGAAAAAAAAAAATATTTCGGATTTTATTTTGTTTTATCATCATTACAGTCTTGTAAAATTTACCTTTCAGCCTCATTGGAATTATTTTATCGCATAAGACACCAGACGCTTCTTTCTATTTCAACCACCTGCACTTAATTCTGTTTCTTACATCCTCGTCAATACCACCACTCTTTTGCACAACTGACCCTAAATACTTAAAACTCTTCAATTCTCCAATCACGTCCTCGCCTATTGTCATTGACCTCCTCATTTCACCTACCTCGTGTTCTCCTTTGTCAAACTCTTACTCTATATACTCTATCTTACTTCTACTTATTCTTAAACCCTTTTCTTCAAGAGCTGAACTCCACATCTCTAGCCTTTAATTAATTTCCTCCCTATTTTCTCCTATTAACACTATATCGTCAGCAAACAACATGCACCACGGCACCACTCCTTGTATTTCTATAGTAATTTCATCCATCACTATAGAGAATAAGTAAGGGCTTAAAGCAGAACCTTGGTGCACTCTTACTCTTACCCGAAAACCTTCTGATACTCCTCCTACGCTTTTTACCCAGGTACAAGTGCCATCATACATATCTTCTATTATATTAATGTACCTTTTCGGGACTCTTTTTCTCATTAATACTCACTTTAAAACCTCTTTCGGTACTCTCTTATACGCTTTCTCCGAATCTATAAATACCCCACACAGCTTTTTTTCTTTTCCCTAAACTTTTCTATAAATTATCTCACACAAAATGCTGGCTCCATTGTTGACTTATCAGGCATAAATCCAAACTGGTTTATAGATACCGATGTCTCATTTCTTATTCTCTTATCTATTACCTTTCCCAAATATTCATACTATGAGTCATAAGCTTTATGCCTCTATAATTTCCACACTCCTGTATGTCTACTTTACCTTTAAATATAGGCACCACAATACTATTCCTCCATTCATTTAGTATTTTCCCTTCTAATAAGATTTTATTTAAAAGTTCCTTCAATCACCTAATGCCAACACCGCCTAATATTTTCCATACTTCTACTGGCACTTCATCTGGTCCTACTGCTTTATTCTTTTTCACTGATGCCACAGCCTCCCATACATCTTTCTTGCTAAATAAATCTACCAGTCCTTATTCCACTCTTTTAGGTACTCCTCATTCAATAATTTTTTAAAATACTCTTGCCACCTTTTTTTTCACATTATAACCATTATCATCATAATGGAATAACCATTATAATGGTTATTACCATCGGCAATGGGTATTATTGTCAGTATACCTAGGAATCTAAATATGTATGAATGTTGCCTGAGAACATTCAATGATGGATGCAAACTAAACTATTTAACACCTAATCAAATGGTTAAAGCATGCTTCTATTATTAGGGCTAACGTAGATTGTAAAGAGTATGTTTTGCTTAAATGAATTCGATTTTTGACAGCGAGGTGAAAATTCGATTGTGGAACACAAGCGTAAAACTCTACAATATCTCTTCTTTAGACACAGTTCAGGTAATTAAAAGCGTGTAATGTTGCAGAATTTATACAAGTTTTTTTTTTAATAAATATCAATTAGAGGTGTGTGCAGTAGGTGTAAAGTATTTTAATAATTGTGTATGCAATAACCGGTCCGATATCTGTCATCCTATCGTCATCAGCTGACCGTACACTATGCTCCTATACCCATATTGTTGTAGTTCCCCCCAATGGACGTGTCAAAGTTGGTACCACCACCACCCGGCGTCACAATCACCGGTCACTACAATGTCGCGACAACGGGTTTTTTTTTCTCACCTATACTGCCGAGGCGACAAGTTGTCTGTCTATATTTGTTTAGTTGTGAAAACCACGTTTTCTTTTAGTTTTTTTGTCCTCCGTTTTTTTCTTAAAAATAAAACGTTGAGTTGATCAAGTGTTACTTTGGTTCCTCAAGCGCGTCAACTTGTCAATCAACCAGGCTGTATTTTTTTTTTGTCCTCCGTTTTTTTTGTTAAAATAAACGTCGAGATGTCGATGATGGTATGAGGCACGAACTATGGTCGGTGGTAGGCCGTCACTCCTCAAAACAACAACGACAAGTATCAACATGAAACCCCCTTTTACCCCATTTTTAATTTTGAAAACCACAGAATATAACAACAAGATGAAGAAATTACTGAAAGAAGGACTGTATAAAATCATTAAAAGAAATCCACTAAACCGAATAATCAAACTAGTTAATGATGAAACAAAGAAAGCAATACTAGATGAAAAAACGAAAACAACTATTCCAACAACAGTTCCAAGATTACCAAGAATATACGGAGTCCCAAAAATACACAAGAATGATGTGCCGCTCAGACCTATAGTCAGTGCCATAAACTCGCCTACATATAACTTAGAAGGTCACTTAGCAAGAATTCTGAAAACTAACATTAGAAAAACGTCTTCTTATATGAAAAACTCGACGGACTTTGTGGAAAAACTACAACAAACAAACTGGGAAGAACGAGACATTCTCGTCAGCTTCGATGTTGTTTCGTTATTTACGATAGTGCCAGTGAGGGACACACTGAATATTATAAAAGAGAAAAAATGGATAGATGAAAAACTACAAGGCTTATTGGAAATATGCACCAAAACAACAGTTTTCACATACCAAGACACCATCTACGAACAAACTGATGGAATGGCAATGGGATCAAGACTAGCACCAGTATTTGCCAACATATTCATGGAATGGTTTGAAACGGAAGCAATGAGCACGTATACTCAAAAACCAAAAATGTGGTTGCGATATGTAGATAACACATTTGTTTTATGGCAACACGGCGTGGACAAACTACATTCTTTCCTGCAACACTTAAACAGCATACACGCCAACATAGAGTTCACAATGGAAACTGAGGAAAACGGAAAATTGCCATTCCTGGATGTAATGGTAAAAAAACAGCCTAATGGGAAATTCGGCACAGCAGTGTATAGAAAAAGTACACATACAGATAGATATTTACATGCCGATTCACACCATTGCCCCTCACAGAAAATGGGATTATTACACACAATGGCAACAAGAGCTGTCAGAATAGCTGATGAAGACCATGTGAATGAGGAAAAACATACTTACGACAAGCACTAAAGAATAATGGGTACACAATTAAAAACATTAATAAGGCAATTAAAAAAGCATAGAAAAGAAATAATGCAACGCGTATCATGGATGACGAAAACAATGAAGATGAAAAGAAAGGAACATTAATACTGCCGTACATACAGAGAATTACCGACCGCATATCAAGGATCGCACAAAAATTCAAATTAAGAACCGTCTTCAAACCAAACACAGTTGCAGGATCACTATTCCGAAACCCGAAAGATAAACTGCCAGAGATGCAAACACCAGGAGTATATGAAATACCGTGTTCATGTGGTAAATCTTACACTGGACAAACAGGAAGAGCTATTGCAACAAGAATAAAAGAACATGAAATAGACGTGGAGTACCAAAGAACAGAAAAATCTGCAGTAGCTGAACATGCCAAAAACAGAGGACATTACATACAATTCGATAAAGTAAAAATACTAAACAAAGAAACTCATTTTGGCAAACGGATGTACAAGGAAGCAATAGAAATCGAAAAATGTCAGGAAAATTTCAACAGAGAAGATGAATGGAAAATCAGCAAAACTTGGTCACCTATCATATACAAGACAAAAAAGGAAATCAACCAACATCACCGAAAATAATTCAATATACGAAGAGGCTACAATCAACATATCAAATAATTGCCGGTTTAGGAAAGGAAGACCGAAATGTCAAGAATGCCGTAAACAACGTTAGTCAAAAATCGAAATGTTGTCAAAAATATTAGCCCAAAACCAGATGTTATCAATTTTATAAAAGCAGACTGTTATCAAGATAAGCCGCCAGTATAGTTGCAGCCACCGACTAGCAACCATCGCTCTGAAGATGGACTCTGCAATGAGTCCGAAACGTCAGAACTCAATTACAAACATGGATATATCCTCAAGCACTTCAAGCAACAAGACAATCCATGAAAGCTTTAACACATTCATAACAAGTCTTCTGTATTACTTGCCCACTTCTTCAAAACCATACCCGCTCTACCTAAAACTATAATAAGCTCTGACTGTAATTTTATCGTCTCTTCCACCGTGTCACCACCCACACAAATATCGTCCACATATGTGCTGAATAATAACGCATCGCGAACAACCGGGAATTCACCACAGTACTGTACAACCCATATTTTGTAAGACTCGAATAGCGGAGCGAACAATTCACCCCGTAGTTTACCGTATTTAGCTGGTATTTACGTAACTCGTCGTGAGGCGACGCGTGCCACAATATATATTGGTAACAACAAACGCTCGGGTAACATTAAAATTTGCCGATACATTTTGTTAATATCAGCCGTATAGGCAAAGCGTGATAATCGGAATAATGTTAAGACCGAAATGTAACCCGAAGTCCTAATCGTGTAACACAGGCAGAAGTTATTGCATTAATTTGTGACGCCGAGTCTACAAATGCCCGTACGTGTGTAAAACGCCGACACAGTCGCATATGTGTACAAGGACTGTTCCTAATAATACTGAATGACTAACAGTCGAGCCGTCTCCAGTGAGTGACGCCGGAACAACAGTTTCATTTTGAAACGGTTGACTATTGGTTGTAACATTGGACATCGGCATAATACGGACGTTAGCATCTGGGTGTAATAATGGGTGATGTCGTTGAGTACAGTTTTTACATGCTATCGGTGCCCGACAATCGGAGGTCCAATGACCGATTGACAACCGATCTCGCGAAAGCGATAATTTCCCGTAATTCAACCGTTAAGTTGTGAGTATATTCAGATTATAAGCCATGATCAATTAAACAGTCAATTATAGTATTATTTTCTGCAGTAAAAGCTGTCCATATTTGATCAATTTCACTTAGAAGAACCGCCAATAGGGGTAGATATTCACTGTTATCCAGACAGCGAGTTGCCGAATCGGTAACACTTGTGTAATTCACGGTTAGGGTACCAGGTTCGAATCCGCCAGTGACAAGAAAACCAACCACGTTCTACTACCAAATGTAAAAATAATATAATGAAACGCTAGTTCCCAGAGTGACTATTTCATTTACTTTACATAAACGTTAACTTAATTAACTATATATATAAATGACGGGTCGGGTGTTTTCTGCTATTCTTTACAGGTGAACATCGATAAAAAAATCCACTTAAAATCAATGACAGACAGTAATATTATATATATGTATAAACTAATATACATTCAATATATTGATACATTAACATTAAAAAAAAAGACGTAAAAACATTACCCAGCCATCAGCCAACCAACCACACAACAATTTGTCGTTGGATCGACTGCCGAACGCTTCCCAATCAGTTTTCCTTTTAAGTATGGAATGTCACCTCCGCTGGTCTTGATTTCCGTTGTGCACTCGCGTAATAGTAGTACGTAACGGATGAAAGAAACTGTTGGTTGTCGTCTAAACAGGGCTACATACGTAACTTTTGAACAAATGGAAACCCGTTTCCTTACTTACTGAACACTCTGTATATAGTTAAACCTTTCAAAAATCTCTCTCATTTAAAAATTTATATACTTTTACCGGGATAGTATTAAAATAAATTATATTTATGTGCATAAAATATTATTTTATTTTATCACTGAAAAATCGATAATTTGTACCATCAAATGTGTTTTGAATAAGATAAAACTATATCGTATTATAAACTATATATATTACGTAAAATTAATAATTCAAAGAGAAAACTGTGAAAACAATTAGGGAAAGAACTCACTACCTTACGGGAATCGATTCCGTATCTGTACGCATCATAAGATGACGTATTCTTGATTCGACCATAACACGTTATTGTCTGTGGAAGAAAAAAAATGACTGTATTTAAGCTCGTAAAAAATTTTCAAAGTAAATTTTCTCGACTTAGGGGGGCATTGGCAAAAAATTCAAAATACCTCTTATTTTGTATTCAATATAGATTTATAAATTTTATAAAAATCGGTGACCCATCACCGTGATCACCCCTTGTGAGTAATTATTGGTAAAGATAACATTCCTTCTTTCTTACCATTCGGCCATCGAATTATGCTCTCTCATGCAATATATTTTTGTATTATACATTTATGACTCTTTAATTTTGTTCAACCGAATATTTGAATTTGTCACTCTAATTTTCTCAAATATCTGTCTATCGAATTCTAAATAATCAATGAATTTGTCAGCAATTTAATGTGTAGATTTTAATGTAGTACTCATCAATTGCTCTCTGGTAGTATATTAGTAATCGGATTTTATCCGTACACATTTTCGGTCGCAAAGTTCTACTCGCCCAAGTATGAATATGATAATAAGTTACGAAGTACTGGTCCGAAAATTGTTATCCATCAGTCATTTACTTAATTAAATAATTGTCTATTTTATAATATACTCAAAAAATTTTAATTAGTAATATTATATGGGGTAAGAAGCTGATCTAAAATATATTAAACCACTTATAAATTAATATTACATTAATAATCAAAGCCAAAAAAAAAAAATACTTCCAAGATTATTATTACTTTAGGAGAAACTTAGCGGTCAATGATAAATAAATCACTCTGTAAATTTATTTAAATAACATATTAAATTTTTTTTTGTAATATTTCAAGCAATTTTTAATCAACAGCTTTATATATTTATGATGTTCATAACTTAGAAAATTATTAATTATTTTAAACTTAAATTTTCAAATAATTGGAGTGCATAAACAATCTTAAGAAGCCTTCTGCAAATATGAAGTGCTTTCACAGAGTTGTAAATAATATGTAGAGAGAAATTAAGTGTCAAAACATAACCCCCATTCTAATATTTTAAATTTAAAATCCTTAAAATTTTTTTAAAAATCACAAAAAATGGTCTTGAGTAATACCCTAAACTACGTATAAATAAGTTCAGGACCGGTAAACTTTAAAATCGTACTCAAATTTTTCATGATGACCTTTATTGTTTTGGCTAATAATTAATTTTTCAGAGAAAGAATAGCTGATTTTTGTCGACTACTAAAATAACGGTTGATTCGCCCTGCTGCTCTCGAATACAATGTATACTGTCGACTAATATTCATGACGAGTATATGTTTTAATGCCACAAAAAAAAAAACTCCACGAAAATTCTGACAGATTTCCCATCAATAGATATTTTTATTATTATTTACGTGTAAAAATTAACCTGTTAATAATAACAATGTATATACAAATTTATATGATCAACTGCTAAATGGTACTTTATAATTATGTTACGGAATATAAACTAGCCCCAGGTCTTTGTAATGGTATCCGACCTGCGATGAAGAAATTAATAAACGTCATCGAAGCCATAATTTTGAAAGGAAAGTACAAAGATGAAGACGTTTGGATTCCAAATGACATGCCATTCGACTTTAAACGGATACAATTTCCAGTGCGATTATCATTTGCAATGTTAGTAAATAAATCACAAGGGCAGTTGCTAAATGTTTCAATCTTTAAAATCCATTTTTTTACTTAGCCAGTTGTATGTAGCTTGTTCCTGTGTCGGAATACCAACAAAATTATTTGTATACGAATAAGAAAATAAAACTAAGAATGTTGTGTATCATAAAACATTAGTAGAAAAATACTGTTTTTGGAATAATTTTTTTTTTTATTAATTATACCAATTTGAATTCAATTTTCATTTTAACTTATGATAATAATAAAATACTTTATGGGAATAACAACGTTTGCCGGGTCAGTTAGTTTAATTTAACATTTGAATAATACTATTAACAATATCAATTAATATTTTAGGTTTTAGCTAACAAATGTGTCATAAAAATCTTGATTATTAAAAATTTAATAGTTGTATTCATTTATTAATGAAAAACTGTATTAAAATATTTCCAGGTAAGTATTAACAATAGTCAGAATGTATTTTTGTTAGTCAGTCCTAATTACATTGAGAAATTTCAATTCGCTTTAAATTTGACATGCGCACACAAACGATTATGTTATCTATTTTATTTGTGTATATTATTTAATCTTATTACCCTTAAAGAATGTTATCATTGAATTTCTACCAGGAATGTTTATTGATACATTATTTGGTACCACTTGCAATGTTTGATATTACCAATGCCTTTTTAATATATATTGTGATTTTTATGTTGTAATAATTAATTTAAAAATAAATACATAAATAAAATTAATTAAAGTATATATAATGTTATTGTTAATGTAATATTTGAGATATGGATTTGTTAAAAAATTTCAGACCAAAAGTTATTTTGTAAAGTTAAAATCATAATTAAGTGACTATATTTTGGCTGTCTTAATTCAATTAAAACCATGGATAAAAATTTAGAAAATGTTCCATTTAATATGACTGATTATTATATTGGTCTTGGACTTGCTTTATCATCTAGTGGATTTATAGGTATATTTTATATTTTTTGATATCTTTCTTAAAAATAAACGTATTTAAAAAATAATGCCAGTTTAAAAATGGGAATGTAGAAAAAACAAAACTAATTTTTTTTATCTATATATTCTTGAAAACATATTTTGTGTATTATCTATTTTTTAATTTTTCGACTAATGCCACTTATGTATAATAATTTTATCAAATGATATCTACCATTTTACCTTGATAAAATAACATATTATTCTGAGAAGTTTAAAGGCATAATCTAGAAGAATCTATAGGAATCTTTGGGTTTCCCCAAAGTTATGAAAATTATATGTAATTCTATGAAAAAAAATATTTTAAATGAGGGAAGGATTTTTAGTTTGAATATAAGACCTTATTGTAATAAGTTCTTATTGATTCATTCTATAATACTAATGAATGTGTTCTCTACCAAAAATTATTAGATGCCTAAATTTAATAAACTTAAGTTTTTTTATCTCTTTCAAAATTATTTTAAAATTTAAAACACTTAGTACTATCATTTATGTGTCAGAACTGAAATAACTAAAAGCAGCATGCATTATTGTTTAAAAAAATTGTCTTGGTATTTCTCCAGGATTTAATTTTCAAGAGTTCAAAACAATTTTTTTTGTGATAATTTTCCTAATATTTTGTTGACTTACAAATTAATTAACTATTTTTCATAGATTCAAGATAAAGAAATCCCAAAATCATTTTTAAGAGATTTTTTATTTAAATGCATTTATATTTAATTTTGTAATACACTTTATAAACTTACATAGTAAAGTTTTTTAAAGAGTAAATCTTCCACAAATGTGTGTAAAAAGATCTGGGGATAAATGCATAAATATTAAGTTTACTCCTAATATTCTTATTAAAAATAATTATTCATTATAAATATTAACAAATTATAGGTGCAAGTTTTATCATTAAAAAAAAAGCTCTGATTCAGTTATCTTTAGGAACTGGCCGAAGAGCAGCAAATGGTGGATATGGTTATCTTAGAAATTGGTTGTGGTGGTTAGGATTATCTACAAGTAAGTATAATGGTATTATAATTTAAATGCTTCTAAAAATTAATAATGGAAAATTTACAATTATTCTTTTTCTCTCTTTGGAGTCTGGGAATTTATATTTCAAAAGTGATAAACCAAGAATTTCCCGATCTATTCTTTTTTTAGCTAATGTTATCTTTTCTGTTTTGATATATCCCTTATCAATAGAATATTGACATAGCTTTAAGTATAAACCTCATAAATTTGTTGTAATTAATACTCTTAAATTCACAACTTAAAAAAAACACATAATTAAGCATTCTAATAATCCTTAAATTTGACATACCATGCATTGTGAAACATTGTTCAGAAAAATGATTTTTATGCACTAATAATCTAAAATTGTATCCTTAAAATAAATGTACTTAAAAAAACCTCAATACAGTTGAACCTAGCATAATCAGTATCTGGAATTGTACACTTTAGTTTAGTTTTAAATTGAAAATAATTCATATTAGTAGTATAAAACGCTATGATAATGCCATTTCTAGTCTAAAAGAATTTTTTTCATAAATTTTGGTTACTCACAGAAAACAAGAATTGAGATTCTTAGTTGATGTTTAACATAAAAAAATCTGATATTATTTTTTAATTAATTTATATAATATCCCTGTATTTCTGATTTATTTTATTGTTTATCCTAATAAATTTAAAATAATATAATTCAATGTTTTTATGTTATATTCTTTATTTATAATTTTTTATTAAAAAAATATAACTGAGCCACAAAATTATATGAGTTTAATTAAGTTTTTGATTTATTAAATATTTAATGTATATATATATATTTTATTAATTTAAAATTTCGGCTACTATGTATGTATTGTTTAAATAAGAATGTGCATTTTTATATTAGTAAAACTAATTTGAACCATTTATAAGTGTTATTGTAAAATAACATATCTTAATGCTTACTTTTTATGATTATTATATTAGTGGCTGTGGGAGAAATATTTAATTTCGCAGCATATGCATTTGCTCCAGCCTCAGTAGTTGCTCCCCTTGGAGCTCTCAGTGTTATTATTTCAGCCATTTTATCAACCAAGTATCTTAAAGAACAGCTTAATTTACTAGCAAAGGTAAACTATGAATTATTTCTCAGTTATTTAATTTAAAGTGATGATCCAAAAATTTCCCAATTTTAGAAGAATCTTTTTCATTCTTCATTTGTCAAAGAAATTTATTCATTTTCTCTTTATATTTCATAAAAATAACTTTTTCATAGTTATATACTATTTTAATTAATTAAATACTAATTTTTTTTTTCTAAATCTCAAATTCTCAACCACAATAATAATAAAATTTGTATTACTTATTAAAGAAAAATTATTTTTATTTTTTGATTAATTAAGTAATTTATTACAATAGAATCACTCTATGCTACAATAGTATCATAAAGTTAAAAGTAATATAATAGTTTATATATGTGATTTGTTATCTTTAATTTTCAACAATTTTAATAGTAATTGTTTACATTCATGTTCTAGATCGGATGCTTTATGTGTGTAATAGGTTCTACAGTTATGGTAATTCATTCTCCAAAGGAAGGAGAAATTGATAGTATGGATATTTTATTACAGAAATTGACTGAACCCGGTAATAAAAATTAACTTATTTTAATAATATATATTTTTTCCAAATAAAGTTCAAATGATTTTTTTGTTAATTAAATAGGTTTTATTATTTATACTGCTGTTATGATGATCATAATTATATCTATATTTATGTATTTTGGTCCACGATATGGATCAACAAATGTTATTGTTTATGTTATCATGTGTTCAGCTGCAGGATCATTAACAGTTATGTGGTGTAAAGGACTTGGACTAGCCATACGTGAAACAATATCAGGTATGTACAATCTGCAATAAATAATAGGTTGGTTATTATGATGTTTTAACCATGTTAATTAATTAATTTAAAAGTCTTATTTTCAAAGTTTATTTGAATTTGTTTAAAAAATAATTTTTTCTTGAAATTCAAATACATAGGTAAAAAAATATTTTAATAGGTTATTTATTTTTTAATATATGTATTTTTTCCTAATTACTTATTCAAGTTATATTAATTATAAGAAAAAAATTTATCAATTAGCATATATTAGGGAAAACTTAATAATGAAAACTTTTCAGTATTAAATTTGTTTTATAAAATTAAAAAAAGATTTTATACATAAGAGGATCTACCAAATTGATTGTTAAAAATTATCTTGTAACTATTTAAACTTATTTAAAAATATAGTTATAATATTTATTACATCATTTATGTGTCTTTTATCTGCCTGTAGGTATAATACTATTTTATTGATTTAATATAATTTTAACTTCAATGTAAAGTTGAGAAGGTATTGGTTAAACCATGATATGTTTTTTTTTGTGTCTGTCCATTAAAATACTCAGCTCTCAAAATTACGATACCTTAAAAAATGAAATTTTCATAATAATATAACTTTTTTTAAAAATTACTGGTCCTAATTCATTTTTAATGGGATATAATTGAGACAAGAAACATTCTTTACGTAAAAGTTCAATGAATAACCTAAGCTCAGGAAAAGTTTGAAATTGACAACCTACACATGTAAAAAATGTTTTTTTTTAAATTTAATATCCTGGAACAACTGTATTTTAAATCTATATCAAATTAAAACTTTTTAAATGAACTTTAATATTAAAAAAATATTTTATCCTGATAATTTTTCTATTATGAGAAATCGACTATTAAAATAAGAAAAATTGTAATTAAAAAAAAAAAATTTTATCAATTTTGATTAAGCAAATAATTTGACAAGCATTATATTTTAATTGAAATTTTAAAACAAAGAAATTGTGAAATTTAATAGATTCGTATCGAAGTATTTTTAGTTATCTATAATTGACCCCACTTTGCTGGGTTTTTTATGTTAATTTTTAAAGTTTATATATATTACAGTTTAAATAAATATTTATTTCATTTTATTATTTTAGGGCAAAGTGAATTTACTAATTGGCTTACATACATGTTTATTTTATTATTAGTTGTATTTGTAAGTATACAAATGAATTACTTAAATAAAGCATTGGATACATTTAACACTGGGGTAGTTACTCCAGTGTATTATGTCATGTTTACATCTCTTGTGATAGCTGCCTCAGCAATACTCTTCAAAGAATGGGATAATTTGTATTTAAATGTATGTACTACATGAAATAAAATGCTACTTAACTAAATTATAAATCAAATTATTTTATTTTTGACTTCTATTTATTCAGGATATCATAGGAATAATCTGTGGCTTTCTTATCACGGTGACAGCTATTTTTATGCTGAATTCATTTCGCGACGTTGACATGTCTCATAGTCAATTAGGTTGGAGAGTCCGGCAACCAATAATCAGAAAAATTACTATTGAAGAAATTGCCCAAACTTCATCACTTATGAAAAATAATCCACAATATGGAACAAGGCATGCTTGACAATTATACTTAAGTATATTTTAGTAATATAAATTCCTTACTATCACTAAATGTTGAGTATTATTATGTACAGTTATAGTAAATGAGCTTATAAATTAAAATTTTTGTACACTTGTAAATGTATAAAATTATCTTTGGGTATGTTGTAAAATAATGCTATTTTCATTGTTGATGTAAAGATATTATATATTTAAACTAATATTAGATCAATGTGTTAACTATGTGGGAAATTTTCTCCACTCATTGTGTTTTTGCATGTATCAATAATAATATTATTATTTTTTTAGTATTAAAATGAATATGAAGTTAAATTACTTAAATTTCTGAATGGTTATAAGATAACCATTAAATACTAAATAAAAATTGTTTGAGCTGAGAACTGTTTTTTTTTTTTTTTGAGGCCTCATCATATGGGTTAAAAAATTGTTATTCTAATAGACACCTATGGGCCTCACAGAAAAAAAAATATAAGTAAAAGATTTTTTAGTAGTTTTATATATATTTTTTTATAAAACTAAGTGTTTCTATAAATTTCATAAATAAAAACCAAACCTACATGTCATTAATCTATAAATAATAATCGTAATCTTAACATCTAAAATATAATTTAATACAAATTATTTTTTTATTCAATTTTCTTAAATAATATATATATTTTTTTAATTTTTTAAGTTACACATGTATCTCTATTTATCTGTTATAAAACAATTTTCAGGTCTATCTCTTATATCTTATAAGGATGTTATCATTACTTTTTCAAATAACAACACATATTTAACTTGCTTATAAAATAGAATACATATAATATGTAATATATGATATAATTAAGAAAATACTGATCGTTAACAACTTTTAGACCAATACTTTAGAAGTTTATTTTTTTTTTTAATATATACTGGGGATGAAGTGTGGATGAGTTTTTATCATTAGTCATTTCTCGGCCACTCTCCTCCTCCCACCAAGGTACAAAATTGTGAATATTTTCTGATGCATTGGTCCAAAAGTTGTTATCAACTAGTCGTTTTCTTAATTATATAATTTTCTAATTTATAAGCTAATTAAATATGTGTGTTGTTATTTAATAAAATAAAGTTAACATTCCTATAACATATAAAGGATGAACATAATAAATATTTTATAACATATGTATTAAAAGCCAAAAAAAAAATTTCCATAAACAGTACCCTAACTGGTTAAATCTTATTAAATTTTGATCCAGTGATTATTTTTATTACTTTTTTAAAAAATAATTTTTGACTACATTTAAAGCATATATTTTATTATTTATAATAAAAAAATATTTTTTTTATTTAGGATAAGTACTCATTGAGTTACAAGCATGTACATAGAGTGATTGTTTAGTGAGGGTGGGTTCAGTTCATACTGGTGTGTGGATACTGTGCCTGCGTTCCAAAAAACATACTTAGAATCTGGTGAGACACCTGTATTGTATATACAGGTGTCTCATGTCTGACTAATGGAGCTTATAACTTTTGATCTAATCTTGTTGTTACATTATTTTTTTTAATAATTATTGACTTCTCATGTTAAATTTATTTGCATATTTTTTATTATTTATCTCTAATAAAATAAATTTTAAAATAAGCCTTAACAATTAGTTCTGATACACTTGGTATATATTTATATAAATAAAAAATCATGTAATAACAAGTTTTGGTGTTATTAAATCCATAAAATATTCTTTGAGTGAATAATTTATATCTAAATTTCTATATATTTATATTATTTATAAAAATTAATAAAAACTGTTTATCTATGTATCGCTAATTATTAGGAAATACTGTGTTTTTATTAATCCATAAAAGAAGTATTGAATATTTTAAGTCAGTTATTGAAATTTTTATATATTTGTTATTTATTATTTAATGTAATGGAGTTTTTATTATTTGTATAATATTATGGTTGTATTTAACAGTTTTTATTTAATTGATTTGTTTGCATGTTGTGTTTTTCCTAATATGAATGTCTAATAATTATACTTAAATTTTAGTATTTCATTTAAAACAAAAAAAAACTTTAATTTCTTTAATGTACTATATCTTATTTTAGGGAAATTAATAAAAAAATGTATTCACTGAAACAGCTTGTGATTATAATCATGTAACCAAGGGATTTTTAATTAATTAGATCTTTTACTTTGATTTGAAGTCAGCCAAAAAATTAAAAACATTATATATAATAATAAGGGTCAAAAGCCTATGTCTTATGTTCAAATTATTTACAACCAATTTAGTCATGTCTATATTAGCCATTTTGGTGGGCATTGTATTACAATGTTTTCTATTGACATATTGTAAAAATACATTATTAAACCTGTTAGCGCAAGCTAGATCTGCCCTTGGTAGTGTCATATAAAAATTTAATAAAACAATTTTTCTATGCTATGATATTATATTGAAAAATGTTTTTTTTAAACTATTATTTAAATGGTTATTATTAGGTTAGGTCTGTAAAATGTTAATAAGAACTAGAATCAATAAAAGAGCTTTTTATAAAGTTATATATATTATTAATAATATAATATTAATATATTAAATTATTGACCAGTCTAGGCTGCATAAAAATATTTCTAATGGGCCATGAGCTTTTTCTGTAAATATTTGGCCTTTAAGTTAAGGTCAATACAGAACTATGTATACTACCTAGGAAAAAGTGTAAAGGTAATGACTCCATATAATTTTAATTAAAAATAAATTTTGAAGAATGATCTTTGAAGAAAGAACCCAAATTGCTGATTTCTTAAAGAAAATTTCTTTAATATTTTTTAGTTTTTTAAATTAATAATATTTTTAATATAGTTTTAATTTTACTTAAGAATGGATAGATTTAAATAACAATTATGTTTTCAATATTTTTGATGAAGCTATATGTTCTGCCTAATGTTTTGTTTATTAATTATGGAATTAATTATTCATGTTACATTATATATATATATATGTATATGTATTTAAAATATTTAATTAACTAAATGGAGCTAAAAATATAAAAATATTGCACTCCAAGGTAAAGTTTAAAAAAAAATTCGGAAGTTAATTATAATTTCTCCCAGCTAAAATTTTTTTTTATCACACTTAATATTATACTGAATTTTTGGTAGGACCTTACTTATTTTCGAGAGACCGCCTCCAAAGTCCTCCAACTGCTAATGGTTGCATTGCAAATACATTGGGTTGTATTAAAAATTTGTTAAATTTCATTTTGATTTATATCAAAAGTAAGTAATTAATAACAGTTAAAAGGTCATTTACAGTTGTATAAGCTTATACTACTTATACTACTATCCATGAGTAATAATTTTCCAGGATATGTAATAAAATACAATTTATTGTCTCATTAATAAAAACCCTTTATAATATTTATAGTACAAATTATACAACCTATTTAATATTAATACACATTAAAATTAATTATAAGTATTTCTTTCAATAATTGAATAGTTTTTCAAATTTTCAGAAATTGTTATCAAAGGATTGCAGTTAGATTAATATTTAACAATCATATGAAACTATTACTAATTAAAATAAATAACATCAGTATTTAATCTCAGTGCATGAGTTGCACCTCACATACACAAAAATTAAATAATAATTAACATTTATTTAATTTATATATATTTGATGTACTTTCAAGTAATTTTTTTTTTTTTGTAATAGGGAGTATGACAAAATCAGAAAATATCAGTACAATGTACTCAAAATTTAATGTCACCAAAATGCAAATAATTTTCAACTAAATTATGTAAGTTACCTATCAATTGAAATCATCACAATAATAATTTTTATTTTATTTATTCTGTTCCATCAGTTTTAGGCCTTGAAGTGAAAAATAACACTTCTGTTCCACAAGACCAACAAAAGGCAACTAACAATCAATATATTGGTTAAATTAATTTTTTTGTAAAATGGAAATTAAAAGACTGCTTAGTTGATAAATATATATATTTTTAAAGCATGTGTAAAATTTAAAAAAAAACCTTGTATCCAATATTTAATTTTGATTATGTATAAAAAATATTTTCATTAGTACATCTTAATGTTTTCTTATAAATTTCAAAAAATAGACTATAAGTTTAGTTTCGCTCTCTCTATTATTTCACGTGAAATAATCAAACGTTGAATTTGAGCAGTTCCTTCGTAAATTTGATAAATTTTAGCATCTCTCATTAATTTTTCAACGGGGTATTCAGTATTGAAACCATTTCCACCAAATATCTATTATATATTAAATAAATAAATAATTTATTTATCTTATTTAATAATTTTTTTGAAATTCTGATACATACTTGTACAGCATCAGTAGCACATTTATTAGCAACATCAGCTGCAAATGCTTTAGATATAGAAGCGTAGTATGAGTTTCGTCTACCTTGATCCACCTCGTAAGCAGCTTTCATATAAGTAAGTCTTGCAGCTTCGATACCAATAGCCATTTCAGCCAACATAAAAGCAACAGCCTTTAAAGAAATTTTATCAAATTAACTTAAATTAATAGACAAATAAATCTTAGAAGAAAACCTAACAATTTTATATTAGTAATGTTGTATAACAAAAAGTAAAAGATTTAAAAATATTGGGTGTTAAATAATATTTTTATTGACTAATATACTTCAATTAAATTATAAGAGTTTTATTATATAGCCAAACTTGTCTAACTCAAAGTTAAATAGACCAATAAAAAATTGTTAATATTAAATTTTTATTAAAATTGCATTCAATAACATATAAAAATAACCTAATTAATAAAATACTTTTTAATCATTAAAAAATTATTCTTTGTTTTAGATCATGACATGACCTGTAAATTATTCAATTTTATATAATTTGGTTTTACATATCAGTAACAAAAGCATTAATAACTTCATTTGCAATAAATTAATGTTGAAATTTGAGTGTCCTGAAGGTACTTAAGGGTGTCCCTCCTCCCAACCACTTTAAAAGATATTATTATAATTGGCAATTTCCAAAATATAATATTGCTACCAAAAAATGTATGAAAAAAAAATACATTACTTATTTATTAAAATTTAATGTGTTTAACAGGAAAAATGCTCTTCATTAATAAAATTTTATGAATTATTCAAGTAATTGGAACAATTTAACACAATTTTTGTTTTATATCTAACTTAGTTTAAATAACAAATAAAAAATAATATTAAACTTAGTTTAAATAAAGACGAGAGAAAAAATGTAATATGTCAATGACTATAAATTTAACAATTTTAACTGTGTTACATTATTTAATTGATATATCGAGAACAGAAGAATCTGACAAATAGTTTTTAATAATTTTTTACTTGGTGTGATGCAATAGAAACTCCAAAAGCTTTACGTTCTAGAGAATATTTAGTTGCTTCATCCAAAGCTCTTTGAGCTAATCCAACAGCTCCTGCTGCTACTGGAGGTCTTGTTTTATCAAAGGTTAACATTGCAATTTTGAATCCTTGACCTTCACCCATTAAAACATTTTCTTTAGGTACCCTGACATCTTCAAATGTAATTCCTCTTGTATCTGATGCTCTTTGTCCCATGTTTAACTCCTTATTTTTCAATAATATATAGTTTATTAATAAAATTAAATAATATGGTTGGGTTAGATTACCTTTCTACCGGGTGTTAAACCTGGAGTATCTGCATCAACAATAAATCCAGTAAATGCTTTACTAGCTGGTGCTTTAGGATTCAGATCCGTACGTGCCAATAAAAAATACCAATTAGCAACCCCACCATTAGTTATCCACATTTTTTGACCATTAATTATGTACTCGTCACCTTTTTTCTCAGCTTTAGTTCTAATACCATTTACATCTGAACCAGCCCCTGGTTCTGTAACTCCATAGGCCTATATTCAGAAAAAAACTATTATTATTTAATAATAACTAAATTATAATTTGATTATGCAGATAAAATGATAAATTAAAAATTTAATTAATATAAACCAATAATTTTCTCTTCATGACTATATTAATTAATCATATTAATAATTTACTCGTAAGCAAACATGGAAGGGGGTGCTTAATTCACATAAAAATACAATTAGTTCCTCTAAAATTGAATCATTAATCTAAATGATATATTAAATTTTTCAAAACTTATATTTTTCTTAATGAGTTAACAATAGATTATTTTGTCTGTGCCTGATATTGGTTCGTTATTATACTATTTTTATGACAATGAACTAATACATAACATAATAAGTAACCAACATGAATTTAAGATATGAGGCAATTTTTATTGTTAGTTTAAAATATTCAGTTACATCAGTTTGTATAATTGTCAATGGTTCAGTATTTTTATTTTATTAATAATTATGGCAAAGTTTTTCAGTACTTATAAAAAATCTGAAAATAGACATAGATATATTTTATTGAAATAAAAACAATTATTAAAAGTATTTTATTATGCATTAATATTCATTTATATTCTTAAAGCAATATTGCTATATGACTATAAGGAGTGCAGAGGGGTAAATCTCAAGCGATTCACTTTGCTAAGAATTATTCTTCTTACTTCCCCTAAATTTAACCAAATATCAGTCTATGATTTTACTTACAGCTACTAATGGTTCCTCAATAAGTCTGCCAAGGTATTTCTTTTGTTGTTCCTTATTTCCAGCAATTATTACTGGCATTTGCTAAAAAATTGAAATAAAATATTAAGTATTCATAAATCTTTAACACTATATGTTCCTAAAAGATGATTTTCAGAAAAATGAAGAGAACACATTTTTCTCAATTTTAGTAATTAAATTGAATATATTAATAAAGTCTCTTATAAAATCGAGATAGATCCATTTGGAACAATATTTTTGTTATTTAGATTTCATTGAATAAATGAAAAAAAAAAATTTAATTTTAATGGTTTTAAATATCTATGTATTTATGAATTCAAATAAAATTTAGCAATGCCAATTTTGAACCCTCATAAAAATCAAATATCTTCTAAGTTCAAAACTTAAAAGTTTCAACTTTTTATAATACTTCAAGTTTAATAAATAAAACATTTCATAAATACAATCTGCTATAAATTAATAAATTCTGACAAATATATAATTTATTTTTTGTCTTCCTGATAATTGTCATAGTTATAAACATGAAGTATTACTAATACTAAGGTACTGATTTATAATATATTAAAAATCATAATAAAATTAATGTGTAATAAAAACTAATTTTTAAATTAATAATATTTTTAACATAGTTTTAATTTTATTTAATTAATTAGCCACAAGTGATCAATTTTTATTATATAATTATGGCAATTGGGCTTTTTGATCATAATAAAGAGTTAAACAAACTGATGCAGACCAAGACGAAAATATGTCTGATTTGAGCTGATATATTTTTTCTTAAAAGTGTATTAAGTTCCAAATGACTCATAAGTTTACCAGATTACCAAGTAAGTCAAACAATAATAATATTAATTTTTTTAAGTCAATAAATTTCGCACAAGAGAAGTTTCTTAAATTAGAAGTAATAAATCATTATAGTAATAGAAATAGATTAGAAATGGGGACTTATCAATTACATTTAAAACTCTCTAATTTTCTAAGTCAATCACAGTGAGAAATCTTCGAGCAGAAGATGTACCAAGTGATTGAACATAAATTTAAAAAAAAAAAACAAAAGTTAAAGAAAAAATTTCTTAATTTACTATCAGAATACAAAAATAAGGGCCAGATAAATAATTTTAATAAAAGTCCGGTAGTTTTATTTTCTAAAAACTAGGGAGACAATTTAGTTAAAAATTACGGGAACATTGTGTTTTCTGCTTTATTTTATCTTCACGGTGAAAATGGCTACCGAATGCTATTATTGTGTGAAAATTCTCGATTTTATTTTTTACATTTTTAACTTTATAATGCTGACATATTGAAAAGTGTATGGATCAACATTATTTTTTTATGAGAAATAATATTTTTTAATAATCCCATTTTTCATTCGACATACTTTATTTTAATTAGGATATTAATAATGAACTAGCAGATCATGTAGCTTTTGGAATAATCTGGAAAAATAGTCATAATATTAAAACCATTTATTCACCGAAATAACAAACAGTTTGTTCCGGTAATTTTTAGTATGTGTTCGTTTTTCGTCGTCGTTGGAGCTTAAATATCGGGTACCAAAATAAAATGAGTGGCCGATTACGTGATAAATATCGAAAATTTTTAAGTGGTACTGAAAAGCGAAAACTTAAAAATGTTCAAAAAGAGCAGGATAAACTTTTAAAAAACTCTTTATGTAAATTTTTAAATAAAGATCAATATGATTGTGTTGCCGTAAACTACTTCCGGTTTCAATGTTAACTTGACTGTAGTAGTCAAGTTAACATTGAAAATAACGAACAAAAATTATTGTTAGACAATATTACTATTGAAACAAAAGAATTACAATCCAGTAGCAAGACTGAACAGAATGAAGTAAATGAAAATCTTCAACAACTATCAAAAGATTTACTACTCCAAGAAGATACAAAGAACAAAAAGGTACAGGACGATGACATTGATAATGACGATTCAGGTAAATGGCAAAATATTACAGATAAATTACGAGTTTATTTAATAGAGAACTCGCCTTCAAAAATTATAAATTATAATTTTCCATCAAACGACGAAGGTAGAAAATTCAGCATAACACATTATAATCGAATAATGGGCAACTGTGAAAAAGTGGTAAGAAATTGGCTTTTATATTCTAAATTTTTAAATCGAGTTTTTTGTCTCTATTGTCGTTTATTTTCTTCAAACTCAATTTCATCATTGGCGTCAGAAGGATTTTTTAATTGGAAACAGATAAATGAACGTTTAAAAGAGCACGAATTATCTATTTCACGTAATACAGCTCAAGAAAAATGGCTACAATTACGTATGAGACTTAATCTCCATACAATTATAGATAATGAATATTCAAAGAAACGTAAATATTGAAAAACAACGTTGGCGTAAAATTCTTAAACGAATTATTGCATGTATAGAATTTTTAGCAAAGCATAATGACGCTTTTCGTGGTACAAGTTCTAAGTTATATACAGCTAATAATGGTAAATTTTTAGGCTCACTTCAAATGATTGCAAAATTTGATTTAATTATGGCTGATCATTTAAAACATGTATACAGGGTGGCCCACCACTCACTGACAACTTAAATAACTTTTGATCCAGTTAATATTTTTAGTTGATTTTTTTTTTAAATAATAGTTATACGTTAGGTCTATAGTTATATCTCAATAATTAATTTTTTTACATTTTATTAAAAATATTAATTATTTTTAAATTTTAAATAAAATGTAAAAAAAAAATCTAAGATAGCTATTTTGTAGAGTAGAATTTAAGAAAAATTTTAGTAAAAAAATATCTTATTAATATTCAGTAGTAAATATTCTGTAGCGTTTTGAAGTTTGTGAAAATTTGAATTTTCATGTATTATTTTACGGTATTAAACATTGAAATACGTATTGAGAAAAGGACAGAAGAAAACGCTATCTTTTCAATATACTTTTGAATGAGAGTGATAAGTAATAATTGCCTTATCTAATTTCTTATCATGGTATTAATGCCAAGTTTGTAATGTATACACATTATCATCATATGTATACACAGTAATCATGAAAAGATAGCGTTTTCTTCTGTCCTTTTCTCAATACGTATTTCAATGTTTAATACCGTAAAATAATACATGAAAATTCAAATTTTCACAAACTTCAAAACGCTACAGAATATTTACTACTGAATATTAATAAGATATTTTTTTACTAAAATTTTTCTTAAACTCTACTCTACAAAATAGCTATCTTAGATTTTTTTTTTACATTTTATTTAAAATTTAAAAATAATTAATATTTTTAATAAAATGTAAAAAAATTAATTATTGAGATATAACTATAGACCTAACGTATAACTATTATTTAAAAAAAAAATCAACTAAAAATATTAACTGGATCAAAAGTTATTTAAGTTGTCAGTGAGTGGTGGGCCACTCTGTATAATAATGATATCCATGATCATTATTTAGGTCATAGGATACAAAATGAACTTATTAATATTATTGTCACAAAAATACGTGATGAAATAATAAATTGAGTAAGACAAAGTAAATATTTCACAATTTTATTGGACGGAACTCCTGATAAAGGTCACAAGGAGCCGCTTACATTTTTATTGCGCGTTAGAGAAATTTCGAAAATTTTCAAATATGAAATAAATGGATATTTTATATGTTTCATTCATACTACAAGTAAAACTGGCTTGAATTTAACAGAGGAAATAAAAGCACAATTGAAACTAATGAACATAGATTTAAATAATTGTCGTGGCCAAGCGTATGACAACGGGGCGAATATGATAGGTCATCATCAAGGAGTGCAGTCAAGAATCCTTTCTGAAAATCCAAGAGCTTTTTTTGTTCCGTGCACTGCTCACAGTTTTAATTTACTTCTCGGAGATATGGCATCATTCGTACCAGCTGCTTTGACATTTTTCGGGGTAATTCAAAGAATTTATTCTATTTTTTCTGCCTCCACTGAAAGATGGACTATTCTTCTCAAATACGTTTCAGATTTTACACTAAAAACCAATGTCAGATACTAGATGGGAATCTCGGGTCGAATCGGTTAAGCCTATCCGTTTTCAATTATGCCAAGTACAAGACGCTTTAATAGAAATTAATTAATCAACAAAGGATCTTAAAATAAAAAGTGAAAGCTCGTCATTAGCAAACTATGAATTTTGTTATGACTTTATTTTAAGTGTTGTTATTTGGTACGAACTATTATATGCTATAAATATAGTTAGTAAGAGTCTTCAGAGCAAAAATATGGAATTTAGTAATGCTGTAATTTTAGAAATGAAGGGTTTGAATCGTCAAAAAAAATTGCGCAAAATTTATGTGAAGGCCTTGGTATTCAAGCAGTTTTTAAACAATCTAGAATTAAAAAAAAAGTTAGGCATTTCAATTATGAAAGCAAAGATGCACGTCTAAATTCAGCTGAGCAAACATTTTACGATGATTATTTTCTAGCCGTAATAGATTAAGCAATCGTATCAATTAATGAACGTTTTAAACAACTATCTCATCAACCAGAATATTTTGGATTTTTATATAATACTGAAAATTTAAAACATTTGATGATGAAACGATAAGAAAACATTGTATGGATTTAGAAATTTTATTAAAAGATGGTGAAACTGATGATATAGATGGTATTGAACTTTTTGACGAATTAAAAATTTTTTGTAGAATTTTGAACAAACAAATGACTTCTATAGAATGTATTAATTTAATAGAAACAACATGTGGCTCCTTTCCAAACATTTCTATTGCATTGAGAATATTATTGACCCTTCCGATAACCACAGCAAGCGCAGAGAGAAGTTTCTCCAAGGTAAAAATCATAAAAAATTATTTAAGGACATCTATGACACAAAATCGTCTTTCTGATCTAGCAATTATTTCAATTGAACGTGATCTGTGTGAAAATTTAGACTATTAAAAAGTTTGCCGAAAAGCCAGAAAAATTGATTTCATGTAATTTAAATTATTTTAACGAAGGTCAGTTTAATAAGACATTGTTTTTTATTCTTTTAATTTTATTAAATTAAAGCAAATTTTTGACTAATATTAAAAAGCCACTGTAGGTACTCATGAATTTTATTACAAAGGAGTCATAAATAATTTTATTTTAAAATTCACAATAAACAGTTGTTTAATTTTTTTCTTTTTAAGTTTTTAAAATTTGTATAAAAACATTTTTGTTATATTTTTAGTTATAATAATGATAAAAATGAAGTGTTGTTATCTATTTTTTGTTGGTATAAAATTATTTGGCCCTAGGTACATCTAGGTATTAGCCAGGTACTCCGGCTATTGATGAGCAAAAAAAAATGGTCATTTTTGCTTTGGGCCTCGCAAATCGTAAGGACTGGTGTGGGGTCCCTATAAATAATTTTAAAAAATCCATTAAGTAAAATGATAAGGGAGACTACAAACGTTATCAATAGTTCAAAATTAATAATTGAAGAAAAGTTCAGGTTTTTTATTAAAATTTCAAACCCTCAAATACCTAAACAAATGCTTTGCCAAAAATATATAAGACAGGAAATAATATGAGACATATTGTGTCGAATATTAATGCTACGACTTACAATTTGGCTAAACACTTAGTAAGGGTATTTTCATCTATTAAAAAATTCGATAGCTTTCAGTTAAAAATAATATTAGTTCAAAAATGATCTGGTTCTACTATTCATAATAATGAAAGGTCAATTTATTTTGAAGTAGTAGCCTTATTTCCGAATATCCCAATAAATATAACAATTGATTTTCTTAGACTGGCTAAAGGAACAAAACATAGAACAAGATAAATAAATGAGCTTATTAATTTAACAAAGTTATGTATGAGTCAAAATGTTTTTCAGTTTCAAAATAAATTTCATGAGCAAACTGAGGGCACAGCAATGAGAAATCCGCTATCACCATTTTTAGCAGAACTTTTCATGAGTAGGTTTGACACAAATTTAAAACACTTATGGTGATTATCCAAAAATTAGGGGTTAGATATGTAGACGATATTTTTGCAGTTATAAATAAAGATTTTAATATGGAGGTTTTCATATAACATTTAAATTATTTATACCCGTCGATTAAATTCACATATGAACAAGAAATAGAGGGAAAATTGTCTTTTTTGGATTTATTAGTTAAAAGAACAGAGAGGGAACTAAATTTTGAAATTTATCAGAAAAATACCCACACATTCAGTACATTCCGAACACATTGAACCACACCTGGTAACACAAATTGTCAGCTTTTAATAGTATGGTTTACAGATTAATTAATATTCCGATGAATAAAATAGATTTTGATAAAGAACTGGTGGTTATAAAAGAAATAGCTAGATTTAATGGGTATTACGAGAACATAATTTCAAAATTAGTCCGAACACAAAAGTGGAAAAAAGAAAGGAGGGCAGCTAGTACACTCACTAGCGTGGGGAAAAAAGGTAATTAGATCACCAATTTTATATTATCCGGGCGTCTCAAATGGACCAACTAGAATATTTAAGAATTTTGGTATTACTTCAGTAACATCTAAGAGTAATAATTTAAGAGATTTATTAGGTAACCCTTAAGATAAGGTAGAAGAAGGGGGAAATCAGGCATTTATAAAATATATTGTGAAAGTTATAATAAATATTACGTAGGACAAACAAAAAGAAATATAGGGGTCAGGTATAAAGAGCACTTAAGAAATATTAAAAATCAAGAAGTTGGGAAATCTACAGTGGCTGAACATTTATTGACACATAATCACTCCATTAAAACTATAAAACTAATTAAAAACGTAAATAACTATAAGAACTTAATATTAGGGAGGCAATAGAAATGTTTAAAAATAAAAACAATTTAATTAATTGGGATCTTGGCCCACTGAAAAATTCATTATTAAAATTATTAGACTTGTGTAAACTGGCAAAATGTGATAATATTACTTAATGTTGACGTCACTAGAGGTATATAAGGGAGTTTTATCAATCTTGGTGTCAGTATGTGTTTAGACTTGATAATGATAACGTTGTTTCCGAAATACGTGTCCGCGACTTTNCACATACTAGTATGTGTTGATAATGATAACGTTGTTTCCGAAATACGTGTCCGCGACTTTTCAGTAATTTTTTGTGGCTTTTTAGTTTAATATTTTTTAGTTTTTAAATTAGAATTGAGAATTTCTGAATAAATTTTTATAAATAAATTATAAAAANTTAGTTTTTAAATTAGAATTGAGAATTTCTGAATAAATTTTTATAAATAAATTATAAAAAATTGGTTTTTCATAACTTCAAAACCCTTTAACTGATAGAGATTTTGTCAAAATTTACATGGATAAATCCGGGTTTGTATGTCATTAAAAAAAAATAATAATAAAATGTTAGTTAATTAAAAAATTTCTTACGCCAAGACCGCTAGCTTCAAGAGCAGTTTTAATTCCAGTGCATCCGTAACCTAATTCTTCAGCAACCATACAGCCATCGGTTACAGACATATTTAAACCACCTAGACATTTTTGAATTAATATAAAATAATAAAAAAAGTACATTACAATTTTTCAAGGGTTTAAATAATAAAGTATTTTATATTGACGACTCTTTTATTGGTTAAAAATTTTTCAATAGTTAGATTTTTAATTTTTACTGTGGACAAAAAGAATTCTGTACCATTTCCGCTCAAGTTTTTTAGAAGGATTGCTAGGTATAGTGAGTGGTAGAGTGAAATATTATAACACTGAAGAATTATGATAAAAAACGGTAGCACAGTGGGGTCGAGGCATAGATGGGACAAGTATAGATGATATCTGACAGTGATTAAAATCACTATC